GCCTAAAAACATCACTTATGCATCTAATAAATATTGTCGCGGTTCAACGTAAGCAGTGCACCGAGACGTTGAGTCCGAGAACCGGCGGCGTGTGTTTTTATGCAGGAGCCAAGAACAGGCGAGCAAAACAAAAGCACGTGGTCTTCTTCAGTCCCCTTTTTTTCACGAGGCTGTTGGCCCGCACATCGTCTTCGTTCTTTGTTTCGGGCGCGGCATTTGCCACCCCTTAAAAGAGCGTAGCCCCGATGCTATAGCTGAGACAGTAATTCAAACGTTGTAGAAAACGTTGTAGAAAAACGTTGTCAAACGTTGTAGAAAACACAATGACGTCGTCAAGGTATACTAGGCAGGTTCTCCATTTAAGCCCAGAGAGAACGGTATCCATGAGACGCTGGAAAAAAGCAGGCGCGGAGCACAAGCCAAATGGTAAAACCTTAAATTCGTACAGTCCGTCTGGCGTCACGAAAGCGGTTTTTTCACGATCCCTGGAGTCTACTACTTCAATTTGCCAATATCCGCTCTTTAAGTCCATAGAAGAGAAGTAACGTGCCTTTCGAAGCCTGTCAATCGAATCATCTATGCGGGGAAGCGGGTACACCTCCTTTTTTGTAACCTGATTTAGCTTTCGATAGTCCACACAGAAACGCAGGCTGCCGTCCTTTTTCACTAGAACAACAGGTGATGCCCAGGGGCTTTTCGACGGTTGAATGAAGTCGTCTTCAAGCATTTTTGTTACCTGCTGTTTTATCGGTTCTCGTTCTTTTGAAGGCACACGGTACGGATTTTGATGGATTGGTCTAGCCGTGTCCTCTGTGATGATTCGGTGCTTGGTCAAGGACGTCCGGCCAACTTTCGAGGTCGACGCAAAACAGTCGTGGAACTCGTCTAGCAGCACAAGCAGGCGTTCCTGCTGTTGCTGAGTTAAAGTAGGGCTGACGTCAAGGTTAGGTGCTAGGTCACGTGGGTCTTGTGCAGGTGTTGCTTCGAGTGCTGAAAAGCAGTCACAAACATCTGCGATCTCGTCGAAATGTGCCAACGTTGTGCCTTTCGGAAGGTGCCGTCGCTCGGAGGTGAAATTGGTCAACAGCAAGTTCGTTCGGCCGTCGGTGACATTGACTATTCCTCGTGATACGGAAATCCCGTATGTGAAAAGCAGCGAGGTTAGTTGGTCGGCGACTCCTTCACCGTCGAACGGTACGTCACATGCTACTGAAACGAGGATACATGATCGAGGCGGCACGACTATATTGTGGTCTTTGAGACGAAAGGATTTGTGCTCTGGTGATGTAGGATCAGTCAGACGAGCACTCTCGTAAAATGAAACCACGCGGTCCGGGATGTTGATTATTGCGCCATGCTCCCTGAGAAAGTCCATTCCTATAATTAAATCTTTGCAGCACTCTGGGAGAACAATGAAAGTCGCGACGAAAGAAGAATCTTCTATACTGATCCTTGCAGTGCATCTTTCAGTAGGGAGCAGCAATTGACCACCCGCTGTTCTTATATGTGGTCCTGTCCATGGCGTTTTTACTTTTCTAAGATGATCAGCCAGCTTGTGACTTATTATGGGAAAATCAGCACCCGAATCGACTAAGGACGTCACTTGCTCTCCATCAATAATTACATTGAGGTCGGCGCTCACCATTTCGTCGTTGTTAATATTCGTCGGCGTCGAGTCGTTCTGTAGTGGCAGTACTGGGGACTTTTTATCGTCTTGTGGTCGAGCTGCGACCTTACCCCGAGAGGTCGCCGCCACTGGTTTCCCCGGTAAGGGCTGGGCGACCTTGTTCCCCGAAGGTAAGCAAAAGTATGTCGATTAGGTGACGATGTCTGAGCAGGGGATGGAGAGCGTGACCTGTGGGCGGAATTTGGCTGGCGATTAGGAAGCGACTCGTGATAGGGAGACCACGTTGTTGAAGGTCCTCGAAAACTAGGGTCGTCATGGCGAACAATGTAGTCATCGTTGGCACGACGACCGTCGTACCCTGGCCGAGACGGGCGAAGCAATGTGTCGCGGTACCAACAATAGCGAGCTATATGGCCGGCACCACCACAGTTGAAGCAGAAAGGGCGCCGATCGACGGTGCGCCAAGCGTCCGTTCTGCGAAATTGTGGGCGTCTTATGTCCTCTCGTGGTGGTGAGTAAGGCACGGCAAGTGGTGGCTGGTGGCATGGAGACATCGGAGACATGGGCCGACGTCTGAAAGCCTCCTGCAATGGTTGCGACGAAGGTGCGGCTGTAGGTGGCTGGTAATATGATGTAATAGGCGGGACGGGTGGTGGACGGCGGACAGCGTCGGCGTAACTCAGTTGACGCTGATCGCAACCGAGATCAGCTGCTGAAAAAGCATGCCTAAGTTCGTCACGAACGACTGCGGCGACGGCGGTCACTGTATCCACTGGAGGAGTCCAAAGCTTCTGAATTTCTTCTCGGACAATATCTCTGATCAGGTCATGTAGGGAGCCCTGATTGTCCAGAGTCACTGAAGCGGCGTTGATTGGGGTGGTAGTAGACGAGCGATCATATTGCCTCGATATTTGGTGCAGAGCACGCTCAATGGCAGTGGCTTCTCTTATAAAATCGGCCACGGTAGTTGGGGCATCGCGCACAAGTCCAGCGAACAGTTGTTCTTTCACGTCATGCATTAGGTAGCGCAACTTCTTCTCCTCGGACATGTTGGGATCAGCTCGACGACAGAGGCGCGTCACGTCTTCAGCAAACAATGCCACAGTTTCGTTCCAGCAGTTGCCACTCGAGCAACTGCTGAGCCCGCTCTCAACGGTCGACGCTAGCAAAGGTGTCAATCAGCTGCTGACGAAACTCATCCCATGTGGATATACGGCCTTCTCAATTCTCAAGCCACGTGTGAGCGCCGTCATCGAGAGTGAAGTACGTGCGGGCGAGTTTCTGTTGAGCATTCCACTGGTTCATGTCGGCAACGCGTTCGTAATGCTCAAGCCAATCTTCAACATCTTCATGTGGGGCACCACTGAAGCGATCAGGCACAAGCGGCTGAAGAAGTGTTACCTGGGCTGGATTGGAAACGGGGCTGCCTTGTATCCCTTGGACCAACTGTGGCTGGCTAGCGGAGGCCATTGGTAGAGGTACGTAATGCCTGGTAAAATGTTCGTCGAAATAGGTCAGCTCAGGAGATAGGCCTAGCAACCGCCGACTGAAGCGATGCACTGGTGTCGTAACAGGTGGCTGCGTGTCGGGACTTGATGAACGGCTCCCAGATGGGGTGTTGAGCATCGGCAGGCTTGCAACCCAGCGCCTCCACCAGTGTCGCAGTTCAACGTAAGCAGTGCACCGAGACGTTGAGTCCGAGAACCGACGGCGTGTGTTTTTATGCAGGAGCCAAGAACAGGCGAGCAAAACAAAAGCACGTCGTCTTCTTCAGTCTCCCTTTTTCACGAGGCTGTTGACGCGCACATCGTCTTCGTTCTTTGTTTCGGGCGCGGCAATATTTATATTTATTACTAAACATACCATATGCTAGTGTGCAGTTAGTATACAAACAGTATAGTAGGCATGAATCGTGGGCAAGGGTGGGGGGGGGGGGTAAAGAGAGTCTGAATTTTTTTTTTGGTGTTCAGGCTGTGGAGGACACCCCTTGAGAGGGTCCCACTTGAGATTTAGCTACACTCAGTTGCTGTAGTTTTGCTCAAAACTACGCGAAAGTGGTCACTTCCGTAGGGATTACTGACTACTTTACACTGGAGTAGAGGCACAAGCGACGGAGATACTATGCTTATGTCTATGGAGGAATAAGTACTATTAGCGAGATTATAGTAGGTTGGTTATTTTTTATTCAAGAGACACGCGCTTGACGAGAGAAGGAACTGTTCGATCAGTCGACCTCTCGCATCGTAGTGAGAGTCACCCCATAGCTTGCCATAAGTCTCCAAGGAGAAGGTAAGGTTCTGGAAGTTCATCAATTAAAGATTGGAAATCATGTTTTTGCAGCTGATAGTTCGGAGGAATGTAAATAGTGCAAATTGTGATCAGTTTGTCAAAAAGAACAGCTCGAACAGCCACTGCCTCAAAAGACGTTTGGAGTTGTAAGTGGGTGCATGAAATCCCTTGATTGACTATAATGGCTACACCTCCGGATGATGTCATGGCATCATCATGGTCCTTTTAAAAAATAATGTAGTTACGTAGAAAGTTGGTGCGACTTGGTTATAAGTGTGTTTCTTGTACACACAGCAGTTTTGGTGAGTGTTTGATCAGAACTTTGACATCGTCAAGGTTCCCGAGAAAACCCTGATGTTCTAGTGTGTAACTTCAATAGTCGTGGTGAATGTAAAGCAGTGCTGTGTGTACGAAAAGCGAGTGGCTGTTTAGGTGGGGAGTTTGAATCCAAGTAACACAAACGTTGCAAGGTCCTGTTATTCGCTTTTTTGTTTTCTTGGCGCGCTCCAAGAAGACATGCCGTCCTTTCGGGCCCAAAGGTACCGACGTATCTATTGCCTCCTCTTGCCTCCTTGGAGGCCCTGGATGCCCGCACATGAGAGCTGGTAGTGCGAATTTTGGGCCTCGCCTGTTGAGGCGAGGCCTTGAGACCTGATGACCCTGAAGTCTCCAGTCTTTCTTCGCTAGTATGCGGAGTAGTCTGGACTACAGTCGCCTTCTGCAGTGTGCATGAAATAAAATATGTCACCGAACTAATTTGGTATGGACGTGGTTGTATCTTTTGTGTAGCCTACGCGTGTCACTCGGTTGATGATAAAACTCGACTAAATTTGACGTTGCACATGCAAATTATCGTTTAGACGCCGCTAAGGCCTCTGTATTTTTCAAAGGTAGCGCAAACCGTTGTACAAAAAGCGGAGGAGAATTTCCTTCCCGCCCTCTACGTCTCTCCTCACTCCGGCGCGCGTTTCTGCTACCCTATTGGACCAAGCGCGACACGTGACCAATGAACCTTGTTGACCCCTCGGCTCCGCCGGACAGCGACGCCATGAGTGAGCGCACTGCATTTCGCTCCCATGTGTGTTGCCTTTAGCAAGGCGGCCTCGGATGCAGCGCAATGCCGACCTGCTGTGCCGTTGGCTGCTCCAGCAGCATTGCAAAAGGCGACAAGCTTTTTGTGGTTCCACGAGGGAAAAATAATGAGGAGCGGAGAGCGGTATGGCTGCATCGCATCGGCAGGGAAAACTTCGATTGTCACCGAGGGAGGCTTTGCGAGGTAAGCACTCACAACAGAACTTCTTCGCGTAGACATGCCTCCGGAAGGCTTTCAGATAAAGCTCATCCTTGGTTCAGGTTCATGTTATACAAAAGCAGCTTGAAGTTTCCGTCGACGCTTTCTCGCACGATTTCAACCACGATGACAGCTCGATCGTTTTTAGCTTGCTCGAATATTCGAATACGGCCACAACATAATTACTGTTGAATGTTTGGCGTTCGCAATTTGCTTTCTAAATGGAACCATTTGCAGCGGAAGCAATTATGCTTCTCCAGAGATCAACCACGTCTTTGATCGTTTTTCTTTTTTTTTTGCTCGAACTTTGATTACCTGTAGGCAAAATTGCGGCGTTTATTGTTTTATTGTGGTTTATTGTGTTCTCAGTTTGTATTCTTTCATATTTATCTCACTTTTGCACACTTCCATGACCGAATTTTGTGCATGCGTGCACAGCTAATATAAGAGAGTGTATGGTAAATATAATGTTGTATAGTTGTTTATTTGTGAAATGCATAGATACTTTCGTTCAAATTTCGAACATGCTTGCGAAGTTGTACTTTCGATTAACAAAGAGAAAGGCACCTACTAAATGCAAGAAAATCATCTGGCTTTTGTAGCTGTTTGCATTTTTAACGTAAGAAGCAAAATATTTTGCTTCGGCAATGTCACATCAGCCAAACTGCAAAAATGCGATAGAGGATGTCGGTATTTTTCAGAAACACTTCACGATGGATCAGTATGAGCCAGCAATTCTGGCACAAACTGGGATCAAGAAACTCAAGCCAAATGCGGTTCCTTCTATATTTGCGCATCGGCCTCTTCCGAAAGAGCGCAAGCCACCCCGCAAAAGGGGGAATGAAACGGTTCCTGGTGAGGCCCCTTTGTAGTTTCTATTCCTCTCTTGTGTTGTGAATGCGATTATGTTTTGGGGTTTATATGACAATACAGTGTGTTTGGATCGCTGGCAGATAGCATAGTTGCTGCATTTATCTTTATGACCTGTGAACCTGATTAATTCGGCATCCAATTCTGTCTTACTGTGGCAGCAAACATCCCCACCCCTACACTGTACTTGCTCAACTCTTGCTTACAGCTGTATCCTTGGATGAGCCAGAAACATCAGTGGGGAGGGCCCCGGACGCTGAACCAGTGGGCAGTTTATTTTGTGAGTTGACTGCGCTGTGATGACAAATGTTCGCGCCTTTAGACTATGTACTTACGCAATTCATGCTTACAGCTGCCTCCTCGGACAACACAGCAACGTCAATAGACCGCGACCCTGAACCAGTGGGCAGCCCATTTTGTGAGTTAGCTGCACTGTGATGGCAAATGTTCACGCCTCTAGCCTCTGTATTTACAATTCATGCTTACAGCTGCCTCCTGGCAGCTGTAAGCATGAATTGCATCATGCATCAAATCGGAGGCTATCTCTGATCAGAAGCATCAAATCAGAGGCTATCTGATTTTATAGCGAAATTGTTTCGCCCTGTCGTCGCTCTACTGGAATGTTTTGCAGCGTTCGTGATCATTCGATGCTTCCCGCATTTTATTTGCGCACTCAATAAAATCTACCTTCATCCCACTAAACGTTTGTGGTATTTTATGGATGAATCGTTTACACACGTCCCATTATGGAAGCAGGCATGCATGTCCCAAAATTCAGTAGGGCTCTGTTGTTCCTGTACAAACTCGAGCTCTAAGAGCACTCATTAACTTTTCAACGTAAGGTCCCTAGTAAGGCCCCTAGGGGCCTTACTTCAACGCGCCGCGCGACAAAACGAAACCGTCCGGCGGCGCGCTCCGCGTGAGTCGCTCCTTCATGGCGGCTGAGAGTGGCGGGCGAGGAGGAAACGGCGCGGGGAAGGGAGTTTGCGCTACCTTTGAAAAATACAGGGGCCTTAGACGCCGCTTGGTGCAGCAGGTCAGATTGACGCAGAATGGTCTGAATGGCACAGCACTTCCACCCCAGTAATCACCCCAAAGTCTGCCAACTGAGATATGCAACTCTAAACGAAATTTTGCCGTTTTCAATGAGAATTTGAAATATACAGTATATACTGTACTGATGGGTGACTTTAATGGCCCCCAACAAGTCCAAGAGCTCTAAACGAGTGACGTCGTTCAGCTCAAGCAAGCGAACGTGAGCTATAACATGGCGTTAAACTCGGAGCGTCTGCCGCCAGCGAACCTCGAACAGGAGAGCGGGCGTGCGCTGGGCCGCCGCCATGAGCAGCGGCAACCCGACCTTCGCGGCGCAGATCGTGCATGCGATATACAACACAGCAGATCCCGTTGCTGGCAAGCGCGATCGTATAGCACGGGCAACAAGTATGGCACCTACTTGTGAAAGAACCCAGCACTGATTTCTGCTTTGAGCCAGACTGAAATAATATGTCCGATAGGCCTGCTGTCTTCTCGGCTGCCATGTTGGCCTTCAATTCTAATCGGTGGTGCCGTGAGTTGGTCGTGACGATCTTTAGTAAGCCACAGATATACAGCGCGGCTTGCCAATATGTCGAGACCTGCTCCAGACTTCATGGGTGCTGCGAAACGTCAAAGCAGCAGCGCACGTTTATCCAAACGTACCGCTGCCTGATTTATACATCATCTTCACGAGCAAAAGTCAACCTTCACGAGCAAAAGGGGGAGGATGACTGAGCCAGGAGAGAGGAGGACGACTAGTGCCCTTGACAACGGTGTGCGCATAGCTCGCATCTCCTGCACGGTTCATCCCTTTGGAGACGAAGTGGTTTGCACGCGACACACATCTTTCTGTGTTACTCTTCAACGGTGCATCCGTTCATCGCGCGCGCCTATCAGGCTACGTTACTCCTTTTTGGGGTAATTTTGCTTTAGAGTGTGAGTAACTCATGGGATGAATTACCGCTCATGATGGCTGAACTGGACAGGAAAACAGAAAAGTATGTCTGAAAAAATATATGCACAAATAGGTAATGTAACTAGGTAAGTCCCTGCAGAGAACAGCACTTCGCAAAAGGTGGTGGAACACTGGCAGTTGTAAAGAAATATCTACATAGCACAGGTAGTAACCGTAGAGCTGAACCATGAGAGTGAAATAATTGGAATAAGGATGAGGTGGAGCACATTCAGCAAGGATTCTCAAATCACCACTGGTTGTCTACTACTATCCCTCAAAAGGATTATACATAACAGCTGCATCTTGCCTGCACTTACCTATGGAGCTGAAACCTGTAAGCTTACAAAGAGAGTTCAACGCGAATTGACAACACAGTGTGCAATAGTGAGGAAAATGATAGGTGTAACTTTAAGAAACAGGACAAGAGCTGAATGGGTCAAAAAATAAATAAGTGTTAAGAATATCATAGTTGACATCAAGATGAAGAAATGGAAAGGGACCGGGCACATAGTGCATAAACAGGATAACCATTGTTACCGATTGAATATGAAGAGAAGCACGAGAGCGAGACAGCAAATTAGACGGGCAGATGAGATTGTGAAGTTTGCTAGCTTAATATGGCTCAGAAAGCACTACTAATCTAAGCAAAATCACGCCTTAAATTGTCTATTGTGTTATTATTATTTTGTGTATTTTGTATTTTCTTGGAGCGGATACTTTTGTGGAATCAAGATAATTGCTGCACTTCTGAAACTTGTTTATAGGGTAATTATCACTAATATTGGCCATAACAGAACCAGATACAGTCAAATGACCTTGCCACGTCATATGTAAAAAAAGTCAACAAAGCTTTCAGTATCTCAAGTAACATGAGTAGGCTAGGTGATAATATTAGTACACACAAAAGAATCAACAAGCAGTTTGAAATTGCATATATTTGTTTGTTGGAGAAGGTTTGTGTTGCTCTTACTTCTTATGATGATGTGTAACTTATTGGAACACCCATATCATAGATGATTTTCAGGAGATTGAAGGCCTGCCAGCGTACTTAACAAGTCGGACCATAACACGGACCGTATGAAAGCCAAACAAGGAGGGTTTCCTGCTATGATAAACATGCCATTAACTACCTATTAAAACACACAAGAAAAAAATGCAAGACCTTTGTGTTAGGTAATATGGTTTGCAACTCAGAAAAGTTCATCTGGCCCACTGTAATGATAGCAATGGCCAACAAGACACACTGTTGGTGCTCCAAGTGCCTACGCCAAGACAACTCGAGGCCAGGGACGGGGAAATGTCAAATGACAGGTTTACATGATAGTGTTCACCGTGTCCATTGGTATGTTTCATGCTACAGTTAAAATCAATGAAGTGGAAATTAAAGGTCTCATTCAAAGCAGAGCATCTGCATCGATAATCGTCACCTGCCTGCATGCTGGCAAGAGCGGGCATGCGCGCTCTGGTATACGACGGGACTGTAAGTTTACTTAAAGGGGTCTAGAAACGAAAATTGATCTTCATGGTTGCAATTTTCCCTGTTTCTGCAAGGATTAAACATACAAATTCCAAAACATTTTGGCACAATATCCAGTCTGTAATTATTATTACTAACTACGAAATATTTCGGTATAATATCCAGTCTCTAATTAATAATACCCACTTGAAGTAGCAGCTTATTTTTTGGGAGGGGGGCTCACTAGCGCGCATACGGCACCTTGGCCGCTATAAGCACTAACATGCGACGTCACAGAAACGTCTGAGTGAGAGAAGTTGCGTGGAAAATGAGAGCGCGTGCCGCCACGTCGTGACAATGGGCTTCGCTAAGGTCCCTAGATAAAACAAGTTTTATCCAAAGACTATAGGCGATGCGCGCTCATTGCGCCATCTTGCTGGTAATTCTGAAAACACGATAGTTCCCCCGAGATGCCCGTCAACAGCGGTAAGTGGTAGATACGTTGCAAAATAATAACGGATAAACTTAGAGCGTGCCACGCTCTATCGAAGAAGAGGAAGCAGAGGGCAATCAGGGCAATAAATGGACGTCTCTCTTTCACGTCTGGGTGACGACTCATTTCATTACTTTTGGTGCCGCGAAACCCAGGACTGCCCCTCGAGAGACTTCCTTTCAGGTTACAGCCATGGCGAACTCTGACCACCTTCAGAAGAAGCGCGGCTCAATCAGATCTGGCGTCACCCGAGCCCTAAAACTACTAACGGACCTTTTGCAGCAACTGGAGCCTGACGCCTCTCAGATTAATGGTCACATGGATTACCTTAAAGACAAGGAGGCAGTACTATCGAAGCTCGACGACATAATTCTTCTGACTACAGATGAAGAAGTCCTGGAAAACGAAGTAGGAACGGCGCAAGAAGACGAGAAAATTTTCTACGCGGTGTCGTGCGCCAAGTTCTGACTTCAAGAACGTGAGAGAACGGCCAGAACGCAGGCTCAAGCAACTGATCCCGGGCTTAGCTACCTCGCATTTCCGAACTTCGCCGACGCAGCAGGCCAGGTGAGAGCACCGTCTGCGTTCAGTTCAACTACCGAAGCTACAGATACCGACTTTCGATGGTAGCCTCCGTGGATGGCAGTCTTTTTGGGACCATTTCGACGCTACCATTCACAAGAATACCGAGCTGCCACGCATCGAGAAATTTAAGTATCTCCTCACCTACTTAACCGGGAGCGCGAAGCGAGCTATAGAAGGCATTCATCTAGCAGAGCAAAATTACGATCTTGCAATCAAGACCCTCATGGATCGTTTTGGATGCCAGGATTTGCTTGTGAACGAGCATGTTGATCATCTTCTTGCGCTAAGCCATGTGAAAAGCTAGTCAGAGGTCTCAAAGCTTCGTCTGCTGCACGACAGTGTGCAGTTCCACGTTAGTGCCTTGGAACGCCTCGGAGTTGCGCCCGACCAGTACGCCGTTGATTCGATTGATTGATATGTGGGGTTTAACGTCCCCAAACCAACATATGATTATGAGAGACGCCGTAGTGGAGGGCTCCGGGAATTTCGACCACCTGGGGTTCTTTAACGTGCACCCAAATCTGAGCACACGGGCCTACAACATTTCCGCTTCCATCGGAAATGCAGCCGCCGCAGCCGGGATTCGATCCCGCGACCTACGGGTCAGCAGCCGAGTACCTTAGCCACTAGACCACCGTGGCGGGGCGACCAGAACGCCGTGGTCTTAAAGCGTCTCCTGATGCGATGTCTGCCAGAGGATCTTGCCATTATGTACCGACAGAAATCCAAGGAATCAAACTGCGCCTCCACCATCGCCGAAACTCCTGAAGACCGAACGCGGCTGGCCGTGAGGTTACTGACGTTTCTCCGCATTCAAGTGAAAATCCGGAAAGAAGGCCGGCGACAGTCTCGTCGTGCGTCGCAAGATGAACCCAGGACCCAGATATCTGAAGAAGTGAATGCCATGGAAC